GGGAGAGGACAGTATCAGATTAGATGTCGTCCATTCCAAAGTCAATCTCGACCTTCTCTCCTGGCTTGAACGCAGGAAGACCTGTGACGGCATTGCATGAGAACTGAATTGCATAGACAAGGGCGCGGTAAACGCACCGAGGTATGGACAGCTTGAGCATCTGAATGCATCCCCCAAATAGCAGTTTCCACAGCTACTGGTCGCCTTTGGAGCAGCCTTCGCGGCAGCAATCAACCTGTCCTTCTCACCCTGCGCAACCTCCACCGCCTCTCCACCTTCCGCACCATCGAGTATCACCACTTTACCCTGCGACGCCTCCTGGGCTTCGAGCTCCGCAAGACCACATGTGCAGTTCTTGCACGCCTTCTTCCGTCGTGGTGCGCTGGAGTTCACAGGCTCACAGGTGGGTATCGGCCGTTGTCGGTCAGCAGCTGTGAGGAGGTCCTCTGCATTGATGGGGGGCGTGGAAGGCGAGCTTAGCGTCCACAGCGCCTTTTTGGATGCCTTGCGCTCGGGGTCAATCTTGCGACGAAGAGGGAGCGCGCCGCCGGTTTTGGCAGGCTGTGCTGGCTTTTGAGCGATGATAGTGCCTTCCTCCGCTGACTGAGAGAGAATGGCAAACCCTGCGAGAGAGAGAGTAGAGGGGAGGCTGGAAAGGGATGAGGGGACGTTCAGGATGTGGAGAGTACCAAGGAATTCGAGGCTGGGGAGGATCTGGGACAACAGTTCAAGAAGTTTGGAAGAAAGTGCGTCGTAGTCTGAGGGGGAAAGAGTTATGTGCACAGATGTGTAGCTTGCGGGGCTCAAAGTGGTTACTGTATGCGCACAAGCAATGAGTTGTATGCGCCGCATGTGAAAGAGACGGAATATCTAACCTCCATCTAGAAGACGATCTAGCATATATCTGTCTACCTTCCTCGTAATCTCCAGGTTGGACACGAGTGACTGGTATCTGCCATCTTCTGCAGTGCTTGGTGAGCCGATGGCGAGGGCGGCGCCCTTGACTGGAGCCGTGACCTTCTGGTCGGTGGTGGGGGCTGAGTAGACTGCGGTGGGAGCCATGTTTTCGGGGAAGTGGAGGGGGATGTACAAAGTTATAACGAGAAATGGCGGGGTCGAATGAGAAAAGAGAGCTTGGTAAGACGAGGAGTTTGGCCAAGTACTCTCTTGTCACATATATGACTGTCCCAGCGCTCCGGTCACCCCCCGTCACACCCCAATCCTCTGAGTCGGCCGACCTTCAAATAAATAAAAAACAGTTCATCGAGCCACCAATTTAGACGTGGGCCATTCTCACTGGTCTATTCGTAGTAGCGCGTTCTATAGCGACCATGCCCAGGCAACGCTGGCCCCCCGCCGCAGTGTTACAGGATCACCCCACCGTACCCGCCCCGTTCACACGAAACCCCAGGGAACGACATGCACATTCTCCATCACAGCTTCCACACTTGATCACTCTTGTATCCCATCTCTCCCAGTATGCCACCCACCGGTCCCTGAGACATATTTCTCCCGAACGGTCCCGCAATAGCCGCTACCATTCTGTGCATGGCATGAGAGCCATATGTTAGCAGTAGCAATACAACCTCTGATCGTACACTCACGGGTCGGGGCCACAAACCAGAAACAGTATCCGCCGGTCCTTGGTATTTCCACGCCGGGTGAGAGGAGACGATTGGAAAAGTCTTTGCCACCACGGCCTGTCCACGTCTAAACCAAGAGCCAGTTCTAAGGCACGTCTGCCGATCCTGCCCTCCTGAAGGACACGTCGGTCCACAGCGGATGTGTTGTCACCGTCCAACGAGTCCACGTATAGTGAGAACCGAAACCTGCTAGGGTCTTTTTGGGCGTACGATGTCATCGGCTCAAGAAGTTCTGGGGGTGGCAGTTCTCCTGGATTGTTCGATGAATGCAACAGCGTGAAAGTTGTACTTGAAGGGTTTGACCGTTGCGAGAATAACTCGTGGTGTAGGAGTTGGTAAAAGGGAGTTATGCCAGTTCCGCCTGATACCTTGTTCGTCAGTTAGACGAAGTTCTTCACGACGAAATTAGTCCACTTGCCATAACAACTTCATCCCATTTCTCCTCTTGCCAGACCCACGTTTTCAGTGGCCCTCTGATTTCGATCTGCTCGCCAATGGTTTTCGAATGAATCCATCGACCAACCTCACCCTTTGGATACCTTTTGATCCAGAACTTCAGGTTCCCCTGATCGTCGATACCTTCAAGGGGTGTGTATGGTCGCTCAACCTGAATATCATCATCCTTGATGAAGACGGACCAAATGGGCGAGAAGGATGCTTCCTGAATATCGGGTAGGGACTGTCGTGGGACAGCGAGAGTGACGAGCCGTGTCTCTGGGTTAGAGCATGGGATACTGGCTGTCACGTTTACCGGAGTAAAATGCGTAGGTGAGAGCTTTGCGTTCTCGTATGTTGGTGCAGAGCGCGAACTATCCGGCCAGAAGAGGTATGCAGCGACCAGCGCGGAACCACCCACGGTCGCAGCGAAGATCACTGACGAGCGTTTGGTTGAAGAGCTCAGCGGTACAGAGCTGGTTGATGTCCTTCGTAGCCCATGATATTTCCTGGGAGTGACTGGGCGGAGGACAGCCCTTGGGAGTAGTTGAAGGCGATTCATGTGGCAGTGGGTAAGTAATTGTCCGCTTTAGGAATCAGAGAGAAGCTCTTGTTAAATACGCACAAACAACGCGGCCCAAAATCATCTTGGATGTGGGCGCCAGCTCTGCGGCTGACCTTTCACTTTACAACATCTCTACTCGGTACTCTACTCAAACACATCTAAGTCCATCCTAAGGGTATATTCACGACCATTTACGACAATGAAACGCTCTTTCAACTATAGTTCTGTATCAATTTCTCCCGCAATGGTCGACAACGCTAGGCCCTCACATTCTTTCCAACATCCCGCGACGCTGGCGGCGCAACCGCCTCAACTCAACATCCATTCAAGACAAACCACCAGAAACCCTCAAACTCAACTCTATTCCGACTACCTCTCACCGACTGATGCAGCACCTCGACAACCTCTGGTACAGCAATGGTACCATCATCCCAATATTCAAGCTCCAGAAAGACAGTCTTTGGCAGGCCTTGGGATCTCTATGAGTCCATTCGCCACTTTGGATACCCAACAATTTTCTACTGTTGCACAACCTGTCTCCCTCCCACTTCGACTACCGGCCTCTCCTTTCTCACAAACTCTCAATCTGCCTTCCCTCCGAGAACTTGGGCTCGATGATATCTGTCTCTCATCGCCAGTCAATGGTTCCTGTATATCCCGCCCGTATGGTGATTCTTTTCTTGACTTGCGCAGTCCTTCCATCATGGTCACGGAGGACGTCAATACAGCATACTCCCCCTACCCCACGGACGAGTTCGTCGCGCATTCTCCAAGCTGGAACGACGGAAACCTAATTCTCAGCTTAGATGTGGGAATTAGGGACGACTTCATGCCCGACGTAGGTCCTGGTGCTCTTGTGCCGTACAACAAGCAGCCGACCTCTCCTACGGAACCTCTGATCGGTCTCTTCGCCGACTTTAACATGTGGGAGCTCGCTCTCAGTCAGCAGCAAGCTCCTCAAACGATCAATACCGCCCTGCTAATCGATGATGAAGCTGGATCTGGACGTGACACCGAGGCTGAGAACGAGGCGGACATGGATGTGGATATGGATGCATACGTACGTTCCAGAGCTCCAAGCCCTGTCTTACAGTACCCCGAGGATTCGATGGAAACTCTACTCGACGATGGCGACAACGTGCGATTCACCTCGGCTGACGTGGATATCATCATGTCCGTTTTGTCTACCTCTGTCGTGAAAGAAGAAACCGAGGACCTTGCGATCTCTGGAGCTCTGATTCTTCGATCCAACGTATCAACGCCTATTATTCTTCCGTACACCAATAACCAGGGCCTTCCTGTTCCACCCCTCCCTACTAGATCTGGCACCATTCCCCCTGCTCCCTCACCCAACCCAGCATACCTCCTGCCCATGCAACCGCTGGCCTTCATGCCCAAGCAACTTACTGACAGTCCTTTCATCCCCGGGTCGCCGTCGCCTTCTGAGCCGGACCCGAATTTGGCTCTTGTTCTGGTTCCCAGTCCGCGCGTTCCACTAGGCGACCTCACTGCCACCGTTGCTGCTAACCGCGACTCCGTCTTCAATGCCCACAAAGGGATTGAGCTCGAAGAGCTTCGAGCCAAAGTGGAGGAATTCCGCGCTCAGAACCCTGGTGAAGACATTGACAAGATGTGGCTGGCGACTTGGGCGGGGAAGCTGTCGGAGTCGGGTGAACGGCTGGACGAGTTCCGTTGCTATGTGAAGGGATGCTCACAGAGCAACAAACGGCGCGACCATATCCTTGTTCATGTTGGTGCTCATGTGGAATTTCGTCCATTCAAGTGCGACTTCTGGTGAGTGTGCCCATTCTTTCTCAGTGCTACGCTCAAATACTTTTCCCAGTGATATGAGGTTCCTTCGCAAGAACGAGTGCAAGCGCCATATGTCAAGCCACGGTGGGCTGAAGCCCTACATTTGCGAGATCTGTCCACCCGAGAAAGAGAAGAGTTTCGTCCGCCAGGACCTGTTGAAACGTCATATCAAGGTGACGCATAATCAGGGCGGTGGTTCAGAGTATGGGAGACGTCGGAAGAGGATGAAGTTGGATACTCAGGAGGGTCCGAAGTTGCTCACCTATGCGGAACCGCAAGTTCCCAGTTCCTTTTGCAGCTTCCCGCCTTGTAGTTTTACTTTATGAGCAGTTAGACGAACGTGGTGCCAGTCTTTATTAACAATTGAAATACAGGAGTTTCTCCCCTGCCCACCCCACGATGCTTTGACACTACTGTATGACCAGCGAAAATAAGTTACAAGCGCTTACTCTCTCGCTCACAAATTCGAGCGCCAGGGATCTGATTCCTTCAAATTGCACAACAACACGGATCATGTTTCTCATTCTCTACGATCCAAAAATCAATGCCAGGAGGGCGGATCGAACGCCCGACCTTCAGAATGCTTGAGTGCTCAAACCGCTTCAGTCTGCTGCTCTCCCAACTGAGCTATCCCGGCGATATCCTTCAGAGCAATCGACCTTGAATAGAGTTGTAGACCCCTTAAGGTTTCAGAATTCCAGCAAGGATGCTCTAGCAAGACTCAGCGGGATGATCAGAGGGTGTTACAATGGGGACCGGCAGCCTTAGAGGAGAAATTCAACTTCGGTGTGATGGGCGTCAACCACCTTTGAGGGAGAGCGCACGACAGGTCGAGATAAACGAATCGACCCACACAGTGAACTTGTTGTGCAGAGGGATATTGTAGGTAAAGTGAAACTGTCGGCCTTTTCTCGTGCAGAATTTTAATCAGCCTAATAATTCGAATGGATAATATGTGCCATGAAATCAGGAGAGCCAAAGAAAAATGAGTATACGACAAAAAGCCGATAAAAAGGCTCTCTGCTGGTTTTTGTCTACTTGCTTTTGCTGCGATCAGAGTGCGGATTGGACCCACAAAGGATCTGTTGAAACCGACAATACATGGGTTACGTAACACCGTCATTACCATATTATTGCCTTTCTGAGACTGAAAGACTGAACTTGTGACGTCTGTACCTCTGCTCACTTCAAAATGGGTTGGAAGTTCTTGCAGCCGTGGCCAAATACCATGAGCGGGCATCGCTGGTGCATATTTTTAGTATTTCAGAGGAGGGGGACGCGGATGAGGACGAGGACGAGGAGAAGGATGAGGAGGAGATCCGAGAAAGTCCGATGTTGATTCAGACATGGACTTCGACTGGTCCTGACTAATGATCATGTATATCAGTGTTTACAGTAATATCTCCATATTTACGCTACCTGAGACACACCTTTTTTGCTGATTGCACGGAGTGTCGAGGGGGAAGTTTGAGCAGATCGAGGAGAATGCGTGGTCCAACAGATTGGCCGCGGGGATGATACTGATAAGATACGATAAGACTGTAAAATCGAAAACCCCATTGCTATCTTATCTGTGCGCTACAGTCATTTGTTCACAGCCCGCTAAGGGGCTGCCGATCCCCGGTTACGACTTGAATCATATTTGAAGATCGGACGTCCAAAAGACAGATACGTGTTGAGAAGGAGAAGTGGAAGTGAAATAGCGGGTAGAGCTTAGCTGATATCTGGTTTGGTGGAGAATACAAATGAACGGAGATATGAGCAGCACGCTGACATGCACCGGGCGACGTCCTTAGCCTACGTCCAGTACGCTCGGCTAGTCTCCTGAACAATCTGTAGCTGCGCCAACTCTAAATTGATCCTCTCGATCTCCTCTTCTATGCCCTTGACCCGCTCGAGGGATTTTTGAATGTTGGTGGAGGGAGCGCCAACAGCGGCCGAAGTGGACCGAGGCTTCTGGTGCTGGATCTCAACGTCTCTGAGAATATTGCGGAGGTCGACACCGAATGCTTCGAAAACGGTTTCAAGCGACTTCGAGGCCCCTAGCTTCCGGCTATGCTTTATGTATTTGATCGACTTTGCCCTTCACAAAAATCAGTGATATCCCATCATGGACAGTGAAGACGAACCTACCAGGAGAGGTAAGCGCAGTAGTGTACTGCCTGGGGTCCATTCACAAGCTTCAAAGCTCCAAGCTTCATGGGCTCGTAAGTGTATGCGTATAGACGAGCAATTAAACGCCACTCACATTATTCATGATGACTTGGGAACTGTAGTGGAATATTTTCCGTTCCGGTCTCGACATCGTTTGTGCACGCACCCTGTCGAACTTTTTGGCCTAGACAACATACACCGTCCGGTAAGGAGCTGTAAAAGACGAAGGTTGCACAACGACTGACGAGACCAATACTGATCATAGGCTTGTGATGAAAGGTCTCTCTTGTGGGTCTTGGTCCTGGGCGCTCTTTCAGTTTGACAGACACTTTGATTTTGGACGGAGAACCAATCCTCAGTGCCGTCGATGCACTTGCTGGACTTGTCCGATTTACGGCTACTGTATTGAGAATGCTAGACTGATGGCGTGGGTGGGTTCGATGCCCGTCTGGTGAGAAAGAGAGGGGCATCTCGGAAGCGACGAGATGGGGAGGGTCAGAGACGTTGTCCTGCGCCAAGCGTCCGGCGAGAAATTCGTGGACAGTTCTGTTGAGCCCCTCAGTGCTTGTCGTCGTGGAGAGGTAGGGGATGTGCGAGTAGGAGGACATGGACATTCTTCCTGCAACCCAAAACTTGCGCGATTGGATGTTGATTTTATATGCAAAGCCATCAGGAAGCTGTAATGGGACAAGCATGCGACAGAGTAACTTCTGTAAGCGTTGCGGTGGACGACCTGGACGAAGGGCAGGAGGAAAATGAAAAGCTATGAGAGGCGCACCGTATGGAGCCATCCGAGGCTACAGTGTCTCGTCCACATTTCTCCCTTGAGAACCGCATTAGCTCACAAGCTCGTCCAATGTCTGTGCCTTGTCCGTATTATCCTTCGTCCAGAGGACAGATATTGTGGCCTAATAAACTTGAGTAGCGTGGACGAGAGAAACGCATGATCCCTTGGACGTTGGCGATAGACCGGGCACGATTGCATGCGTTGATGGCTTCACATATGTCTTCTTTGGTCCGGCGAAGTCGTCCAGATTGACAGTACCGTCCAAAACGGCCTAAGCTGCGTAATCCTTACACACATCATGAAGGTAGTATAAGGAGGGATCAGGACCTGTGGATGACTGACACGGGTGAGAGTCTATGGCGTCTTGTTGGGGGATCCGACAAAACGGCCACATAAAAAAACCGCCCCCCCATTCTTCGCCCTCACTTCACGGCCGCTCGTAGCACTGACAACGCGACCACAGCAACATTCCGCCGACGATCATCGAGAGCCCTATGTCTGTATCTGTAAAAACCTGTAAGACTCATCGCGCAAGCATAAGGAATAAACTGACTTGGCACAGGACACTGCAATCCCAAGCACTCAGTAGGTGTGAATCATATGGCCGCGTTGTATTGAACGTTCGATCAAATATTAAGGCAAGTTGCCAGTCAGCCATGAACTGTTGCGATGGACCCAGAGGAGATCGACTGGCTCTTCCTACGATAGGTAGCCAGCCGCCTTACAACAGCATCCTTCACTTGCAGGACAGTCGGCATGGTATTCTCTTTGGCCACTCGAGAAGTCCGTTGCTGTCGCTATCATATTATGGTGATGAGAATACTGACTTCCAGGAGGCTAGATATAACTCACGTACATATACGGCATTATTGGAGGAGCTTCACCAACGCTAGAACCCCTCAAATATCAGGAAAGTCCCCTACTGCGGCTGAAGTCATAGTCATGGAATTGTGGAGACACCGTATTCCAACCTGGTCGGTGGATTCGGTAAGGAGGTAGTGAATCACCGTCGAGAAGGTGCATATGGCTGGGCTGAGGCCTGGAGGGCGGCTGCACGCAGCCGATTGGGACTGGGGGGGGGGGGGGGTTGCGACGTCGCCTCCCAAGTTGACAGGCGAGGAATATCATGCGAACATCAGGAGAAAGTCGCAAAGGGGCCTGGACGCCATGCCGTGACGATACCAACCAAGAATAACTGGGATCCAGATAGGAACGATCGTCTGTCCTACCATCCCACCATAACATCCATGTCTAGCCACTTGATATGAAGCTGGAGGGTACCCCAAGTTGTCACTGTTATCGTGACAAGGATTACTGCGGTTAGTTGGTCGTTCGCCTTGAGAATAGATGACAACGCACCTAAAGTCGAAATTCTCGTCTCAGATTCCAGCACTGCTGTGACTACCTCCAACAACTCAGCAAGTGAGGGTGGCCAGACTCTACAGATGCGCACTTTGTAGATTCTGCCACCGTAGACCACAGTCGCGGGTCGGTTGAGATGGGTCGAACTTCGAACGTCAGACTCTGTCGCCGGACGTGCGGCACCAAGATTAACGGAAGAACTCGAGTTTTCGAGTATGTGGCCCTTGTCTTACCTTAAAGAGCAACGAGCCATGATCGGACAATAGGCCAGCAGGTGTGGCCAGTAAACCATTCAGATAGCCCGAGAACGTTGTTGGGATGGCCATTGACGAACAGTCAGGCGAAGTCGTCCACTAGCCACTAGAATGGCTCTTTCATCGGTACGTCGTGCTTAAACCTGGCGCATTATGAGCAGCATTGGCAAGAGCAGGCACTAGGACGTGGGCTGGTATGAGGCTATTGCAAGTCGCTGCTCCCTGAGACTGTCGAATTTCCCCGCGACGCAACCAATTTGAATTTCCGCCCTAATAATATTCGCACCCACTGCCAGTGACAGTCATACGTATTCTATGGCCACGGTCGGTTTCATACTCAAAGAGCAGCAGCGAAAGTTCATGGGCTTGTCCACTGTCACTGTCCACTTCACTGTCTTTCAAGTTCACGTCGCTGAATGAGCCTAGACTCTCAAGTGACAGTACGCCTACTGTTGGTGCAAACGGCTGGACATAGTACCCTTCGTTAGCGGCATCTGGTAGCAAGCCATTTTCTTACACTGCGGTACTACACATCGAGATTGCTACGCATACATATGAATGAATTGCCATGGCATGAGGCTGGAGTGTTGGGGTTAAGGTCCTCGAGACGCCGAAGCGGGCGTCAAAGCTGCTCTGAGAAACTGCCAACTTGAAGGAGTTAAGTTATAACTCTTCTCCAACAGACCCATCTCTTGACACTCTTGCTCTCACTGTCACTCACGCAATGTCTCCAAGAGGACGATCTACTTCCCCGCATCCTCTCCATGATGCAGACGTAGACATGGATGTAGACAACAAGGTCGACAAACCACATGCAAAAGTCGTCATAGTCACCAATCTCACCAGGAATGTTGTCGTGTCCCACCTCCAAACGATTTTCAGCTTCTATGGCGAGATTACCAAAGTAGACTTGCCGATGTTTGGAAAATGTACGTATACTCCAACCCGCATGCCTTTGGGGCTACTGTCTAACTGCGCTTGTCCAGCCGGTCAAAACAGAGGGAAGGCTGCCTTAGAATTCGCCGACTCATCTTCAGCGCACCGAGCCGCGTCACATATGAATGGTGGGCAACTCGACGG